AGTCACACTGGTCTCGGCATGTCATGGCTTGGGCTGAGTAGAAAATCATGTTGACGATATAGTATTATTGGGTCTCCTAGGGAGCAAGTCAGCGTCCGCTCTTGACTAGTGACATTCCTTTTGCATTTGTTCTTGATCATCATAGTCAACACTGGTCTCGGCATGTCATGGCTTGGGCTGAATAGAAAATCATGTGGATAGCAAAACTAATGTCACTATTAGCAACGTACAGTATTGGCCTAGGGAGCAAGTCCGCGTCCGCTCTTGACTAGTGACATTCCTTTTGCATTTGTTCTTCATCATCATAGTCAACACTGGTCTCGGCATGTCATGGCTTGGGCTGAATAGAAAATCATGTGGATAGCAAAACTAATGTCACTATTAGCAACGTACAGTATTGGCCTAGGGAGCAAGTCCGCGTCCGCTCTTGACTAGTGACATTCCTTTTGCATTTGTTCTTCATCATCATAGTCAACACTGGTCTCGGCATGTCATGGCTTGGGCTGAATAGAAAATCATGTTGACGATATAGTATTATTGGGTCTCCTAGGAAGCAAGTCCGCGTCCGCTCTTGACTAGTGACATTCCTTTTGCATTTGTTCTTCATCATCATAGTCAACACTGGTCTCGGCATGTCATGGCTTGGGCTGAATAGAAAATCATGTGGATAGCAAAACTAATGTCACTATTAGCAACGTACAGTATTGGCCTAGGGAGCAAGTCCGCGTCCGCTCTTGACTAGTGACATTCCTTTTGCATTTGTTGTTGATTATCGTAGTCAACACTGGTCTCGGCATGTCATGGCTTGGGCTGAGTAGAAAATCATGTTGACGATATAGTGTTATTGGTGTAGGGAGCAAGTCAGCGTCCGCTCTTGACTAGTGACATTCCTTTTGCATTTGTTATTGATTATCATAGTCCACACTGGTCTCGGCATGTCAGGACTTGTGCTGAATAGAAAATCATGTTGACGATATAGTATTATTGGGTCTCCTAGGGAGCAAGTCAGCGTCCGCTCTTGACTAGTGACATTCCTTTTGCATTTGTTCATCATCATCATAGTCAACACTGGTCTCGGCATGTCATGGCTTGGGCTGAATAGAAAATCATGTGGATAGCAAAACTAATGTCACTATTAGCAACCTACAGTATCTACAGTACAGTAAGTCTACGTTTTATACTGTACATTGTAGAAACGTTGTACTGTACACTGTACAGTACAATGAGTCTCCATGCAATCTTGAAGGATAAAAGGTAAAAGGTGCCGCTATCATCTTGTACTACTGTAGATCGGTGTTCTAAGATGGCTGTACATCAACTAGTTCCGAAGCATAGACTGTTCGTCTTTTTTACTACACAGTAAAGCCATTGCAAATGGTCATGCACGACCGACCCATCTTGAACTAGTAATGTCGAGCGTAGCACGCATGGCTTGTCCACGTGCCAACATACAATCCTGTATTGTGCTATACAAGGTACAGTACAGTCCACTGTCCACAGTACTGTTGAGTATGAAATGCCTCCACTTTTACCTTGACTGTACACTGTACACTCAAGGTAGACCTCAACAGTGGACGTACTGTACAGTACGTACTATAGAACGCCCAGTAAGTACCCGACACCATGTCATAGACTGCTACAGTACTACGTACTGTAGCAGTCGTCAGTACTGTGCACTGTCCTGGAGACATTTTCCTTGTTTTGCGTTCTGTACCGTACCGGTTGCGGCACGGTTCGGTTCAGAACGGTACTGTTACGGTCAGGGTTCGTACTGGAAAGCCCAGAAGGGACTCACCGTCTACAGGACGCATGGACAGTGCGCATGTGCAGTACAGTGGCAGCCCAAAAGCCTGCTACAAAGATTCAACAGAACAGAAGGACCAGCGCCAACCATTTCTCTTTCCTCTCTCCATTGGCTGCTCAAGAGATTCCATTTAGGCTCTAATTGTCGATGCAAACGTATTAATTGATCAAGACTACCAAGAAGACATTGGCAGTATTAGCATTGGATTGATTTAGGTAGCCGTGGGTGGACGAGTTGACAATATTGGACCGTGAATTGGAATGGAAGTTGGCTTTCCATAAAGTCATTGCTCAAGACGCAGACTGTTTCCTTCCTTTATTGCCAACTTAACTTATTCTATTTAATATTCATCGATTGGGTACGCTATCCACATTGACGGCAGTATGTCAGAAGGTTCAGCCAATGAAATTTTACAGTCATTCTGTAGCGAGGTAAGATGATGATAGCCAATACCACACACGTCGCTATCAGGTCCTTCTCCAGCCCTACGTT